ATGGCCCAACAAGAAAATCAGAGGCAGGCGGCTGTGGGCGAACTATCGTATAGTCGCATAGCATCTGACAACGATCAGCCCACAAGTGATTAAAATCGTTCCTGTGGAGGACAAATGCTCCAGAATGATATCGCTTCTGTCTAGCTTCAGACTGACAGGGTAGTGCAGCAGCAAACCAGACAAGAGCAGTCCATGAGTCCTGTTGGTCAACAACGGAGTCATCATTCCAGGCCCAACCACTAAGCGCAATCGGAGTACTCAAATAGGTCATGTCCCCACTAGTATAGCTGGACACATGGTTGTCATGGTCAGCCCCAAAATGTGGGCAAAATCCTTGCACAGCTCCCGTATAGGTATGGTATCCAAACGGAGCACCAGGTAGGGTCTGGTTGCCACAAAATGGCACACATGGCAAAGAGTTCCAGTCATTTGTAGAATGGTTCCCTATACTCAAAACTGGGCAGGTCCGACCACTATCCTGGGAACCCAGTATCGCAAAAGTAGTATTGCAAGTGGCATCGACAGTAGTACTGGGGGAACTTTCATGTCGATTCTGTCTATCATCTGGCATCGATCCAGTCAAGTCCGCAAAGGAGACAGATCTGGTATCCGAAAAGATGCCAACAGCTTCTGAAGTGGCAAGATTCAACAGCAACAGGATTGCCACAGATTTGCGTCTTGTCAAGGTGCTACGTTTTTTCCTGCAGCATCTGACACGAGCCCGAAATTTGCAAGCAGCTGGAAACTTGGGGAAACTTTCTTCACGGAACCTGAGGTACCTGCAAAGCTCAAGAATTCCATAGATTACAAAAAGGGCTCGGAAAAGGCACTGGAGGATCTGCACACCTCCAAATGCTTCTTCATACATAGGGTCCTCAGCCGCACACTCCAGTAGACCACCTAAGCATAAACAGCAGAACCTAAGGAAATGCCTCAAACGCTCAGTGGCCTGGCTCGGCGGCCAAAAATAAATCTGCCGAATTGATGTTCTCCTCACGAGAAATTGCATGGAAAGGCTGCCAAATTCATCCAGACCAAAGGCTAGAAGGATTGCCAGCAGCAACACACAGATGGAAACTGAGACTGAAGAAACCAAGGAAAATAGGAGCCTGACCCCGACAAGGTGCCAGGACTTCTTGACTTCAGCGTATCCATCATCAGACGATTCATCATGGCAGGAAAGATCAAAAACCCCACTGATCTGGCTGCTCACAGAATCACCAAGTTCCCAAAATACGTGTCTCGCAGCATCAAACGACTGCTTATATCGGTATGAGCCTCTCACATTCAGTTCCCCAAAAAGCCTGAATAGGATCAGCTCAAACAAGTATAGCAATTGTCCATAGCCTCTGTCAAAGCAATGGCCAAAAACTATCGAGGACTCGAACAAAGTACACAAAATGATCAAGCTGCTGCCTTGAAAAATGGCGCACCCTTGGTCGTGCACTGCATGCCCTACGACATTCCCTCCATGTTGGCCAGTCTCCCTCCATCCGGGGTAGTGGAAGATCGGCCTCGGCTCAGACTCGGTGGTGTGTACGGCCCATCGCCAGCCTTCCTGGTTCGCGGTGGCAACTTCCCAAAGGGTTGCAAGACTGGGTGCGTCTCCACCGGCAAATGATCTGGCTTGCCGGTTTTCGATCCACTGTCCAGCTTGGGCACTTCTGTTTGCCCTGAGTCGGGTACACATGCCATCAGCATCCGATTGTGTGTGCTGACAATCAATTCCTGGACAGATGCCCAGCTCCTGTAGCTCTCCGGAGCCTCTTGAATCATCTGTAAGACCGCCATCTGGCATTCCTCTGGATATCGCATCAATTCTGTCTTCAATTGGGTCGATTCGTATTCGTTTGCCACCTTGGGGATCTTGGGCTGTCGATGTTCGGCTGTTGGACTCCTGGAACGGCCACGATGAAGCTCTTCCTTCACCTTCACTGTCCCAGGCTCTGCTGATTTCTCCATGCCAAGAACCAAGCCCAGAGTCTTTCGATTCTGTTTTACTTCTTGTTCTGGCGATGCAATAGGGGGACGGGCCGTCAGAGTCGATCCTTGTAGAGCCCCAACAAGTCCCATCATCTGCACCTGGAGCTGTTCCAAGATCATGGCATTCTTGGCCTCCATCTGCGTCGTGTAGGTCACAAATTCCTGCATCTGTGACTTGACCTCCGTGAGTTCTGCCCGAAGTCGTCCATTTCCTCCAGGAGCTTCTTCGTCTCCATCGGAATCGATCAAGATCGGGTCTACCCCATCTTTCTCTCGTTCGAGAGCCTTCAACTGCTGCTGCAGCTCTGTGATCACTCCAGCATGCCTCTTCTCCTCCCTCTGTAAGCCGTCTTGGATTTCGTGCTTCCAGCTTTGGTACTTCTGCTCTTTTTTGTTGATCTGCTCTCGAACCTTCATCAATTTGTTGACAGACTTCCGTTCTGCATTGAGTTCCTTCTGTCGCATTTTGATGGATTCCCGGGGGTCTTCTTTGACCAAATCTGCCACTGCTTCCGGTATTTCCTCTGGTGCAGCTATCTTGGTGAGCATGAAGCGCATCACCTCCTTGAGTTGACGATTCTCTTCCTTCACTCCATCCATAGCTGCCGTAGATGACTGCCCCGATGAAGAGGTAGTACCACTTTGCTCTCCATAGCCGACCTTCGTTCCGTCGTAGCCGATCAGTAGGGTGTCTTGGCCTTTGGAATCTTTCTTCTTGGCAGGCTTCGACCTCCATTGGCTCTGATCCCAAGTCCATTGCTGTTCTTTCTTCCATGGCATGACCAGAAACAAAGATGCAGGCAGTCTGTATCTTGGTCTTGTATGATGCTTCTGCAAAAGAGCTACAGCGTCCAGGACTCTCTGTCGGAGAGTCGGGCGAAGCCTTCTCTTAGTGCAGGCTGTCCTAATCAAAGACCGAGCAAGGCTTCGCTTCCGCCTCGCTCTTCGATGCCACCGTGGAGAACCAATGGCTCAAACACAGGCAGAGTCGACGATTTTACGTCTGGGGCCGAAAATATTCCTGAAGTATCAGGCGATCTTTGAGCCCTCTATAACATATATAACTATATACACAAAAAACACTAATATATAATATATTTAATGTATACTCTATATTGTGAGGGATACCCTTTAGTAATGAACTTCTCTAAACCTGTTGTTTACGACCGATTCGATCATAAAAACACTGACAACCACTTGAATGTAGACATTTCTGAGAATAACAGACCTCCTGAAAGAGAAAGAGGAGAGAAGAACCAATTGTTGTATTAAGGGGACTTGAATCAAAACTCCCCAACCTGCATGAGCATGTCAAAGCTTGTTGGTCTACAGCCTCGGAGCGACAACTTCGCCCCTCCCCGGAGCTTCATTTGCCAAGTGATCTAGCATCAGGTGTAGCTCAGGTAAAAAAAAAAACAAACAAACTTGCAGCGCAAGCTTGCACGTGAGCAAATGTTGAAGGTAAGCCGCCGCAGAAACTCCCACGCGTCAGCAACGCGCCAGGTTTTGGCGCAAGGGTTGGTAATTTCCATTTCCATGTACGTTACAATTAAGGAGTTTTTGAACACCGCTACAGTGGTCAATTCTTACTTTTGTTTAATCTTCACACAGAAAACTTAGTGACAGAGGTTGTTGAAGAGGCCGAACCATGCCATATCATGGGAAATCGCCTTGCCGACGAAGCGGCAAATGCCAGGGCAGACGTCTTCAGAACACGCCACGCTGGTGCCCCCTCTTCAGCATCAAAAGCATCTATACACTGCATCGTCCCATGTGTTTTTTTGTTGTTTCTCCGAGTTGCCTTTTTGTGCTCTTTGTTCCCCACCTGTCAGGTGAGGGTTGTTAGATTTTATGTCAGCCCCATCTCCTCCTCCTTCTCCTCCTCCTTCTCCTCCTCCACCTCCTCCGCCAGACCTCAACCACGACCATCCGCGCCCAGTATTCCCTGCCGGACCTCAACCACGACCATCCGCGCCCAGTGTTCCCTGCCGGACCTCAACCACGACCATCCACGCCCAGTGTTCTCTGCCGGACCTCAACCACGACCATCCACGCCCAGTGTTCCCTGCCGCACCTCATCCCTGCCGGACCTCAACCGCGAGCTCCAGACCCAAGTGTTCCCCACCGGACCTCAACCGCGACCATCCGCGCCCAGTGCTCCCTGCCGGACCTCAACCGCGAGCTCCAGGCCCAAGTGTTCCCTGCCGGACCTCAACCACAGCACACAACCACAAACACACAACCACAAAAACACAACCACAACCACGACCACAAACACGCAACCACAAACACACAACCACAAACACACAACCACAAACACAACCACAAACACACAATCACAAACACACAGCCACAAACACAATCACAAAAACTCAGGCACAAACACACAATCAGAAAGACACAACCACAACACACAACCACAACCACAACGCACAACCACAGCACACAACCCGAGGACCCACAAACAAAATCGACAAGTACAATACTCACGACCATGGTAACATGCTCCTCACTATGGCATCAAGACAAATGATTGAAATGTCATGGTGGGGATCACTCGAAGTAAAGTATTTTTTTCCTATTCCCCAAGTTGCCCTGGAGTGTTTGCGGCCATAGTTTTGTGTTTGTTCACGTGTACTTTACCACAACCTTCACAAACCCTGTACAAACAATGCCAACATATGTGTAAGGTCTGTCACCAGGTGCTTGACCTGTGTGAATGAACACCGCTAGAGTTGCTACAGTAAACAAATCCACCATCTAAAACAGCACTCCTGCTGTTTCTGCTTCTGGAACAGGTCACCGAGATTGTCATAGGTTTACACCAGATGTACTGTGTTCGAGGTGCGTCCTGGATTTCTTCCTTTTGACCATCCAAGACAGTGGGTCAAAACCAGAAGACCAACCGGTTGACCTACCTGGAAGGTCGGTCGCTACATGGTGGACCGGTCAGGCAGGTTTTGAGCACATCCAAGACATGATGGGTGCTAGGTGGAATGCCAGTGACGACATCCAAGGTGCACGATGCATCGGCTTTGTTGTTGTCGCGGCTGATGATCCAAGCAAACGCCGCCTTGAAGTACATGCCCAGCGCCACTGTGACGCAGGATGAGAGAGGAAAGACGGTGCCATAAGACTTTGTGTGTTTGTTTCATGTCGCTCCAAAGACAGCACGCCGAGGTGGTCTTTCTGATGTTTCTTTTCACTCACCTAGAGTTGGTTTAAGAGGATTTGATTCTCGAATTCAGACAGAGATGGGTTTCTGTTCCTTTGTATCCATTTGTGTTTTTGTTGGATGGTCTTTTTCATGGAGGTGTCCAGACCCGGAAGTGCGTTTCGAGGGGTCCCCTGGAATCACGAGATTCTCAACGAAGCCTTCAACCACGCTTGATCTTGAAGGGTTCGCAGAATGGCGCCACAAGTCTGAGGATGTCCTTTGACCCAACAACACCTGGGACAGATCCCCGTAGGCTTGTGATGGTGTACTTTGCACACTTCACTATCTTCACTTCGTCGGAAAAAAACACTGGAGATACTTCGCAGGTCGTGACCGCCCCCCAACTTCAACGCCTGGAACTCCCAGCAGCACTGGGTTCAATTACGTCCCCTGCACCACATGGACCCGCCCCAACCGATCGTTTGCGGAGTCGATGGTCGAAAGCACTCAAGTCGATGGTCGAGGGTCCATGTGGTTTGCCGCGGGGTGGGGGGGTATTGTAATATTGATGAAACGTGTTTGGGGGGTGTCCCATTACCTGTAACAGTCGGTAAACAATCATCACCGTTTTAGAGAAAGGCCTTTACTATATCCTTTACTAACAGGTTGTTACAGGAAAGTACATGAATACTGTAATACGATATACCTATATAGAACTAGAATCCATTTGACCACTCTGTTTTGATCGGAAAAGACCATGTGTTGGGGTTGGTGATCCAAAATAGAGGTCACGACCTGGTTCTAGCTATATATAAATTTACATATGGATCTACCCGGATGGTCGGTTCTGGATCCCATTCCGATACCTTGGTCGTCCGGACTGGAGTTGAGCCGAACGGATGGAAGGCGCAAGTGGGGCCTGAAGAAGTCGCCAAGTCGGCCCTGGTGGGTATTGGGCGATCTCTTTGGACTTCTTGAGTACAGAGACAAGGAGTACTCTCCCGAAAACTAACATGGACCCGGGTCGAATGTATGGCACCCCGAAAGACAGGTTTTTCTTTGCGAACCAGTGGTAGTCAGGGTCCAGGTTAGTTTTCAGTGGAGTAGTCATGTCAATGTATCTACTATAATTAAGGCCACCCATCTATTGCCTTCAAGCACAACCGGCGATCTCAGGTCATTGAAGATCTCCTGTTCCGACAGCGAACGATCATCCAACGTTTGGCCAAGGGGCTTCTGTTGCTGAGCCAAGGCATGTCGGAGACACCGATTGGCGACAGTCTGGTGGTTTGGGCTGGGAGACGGACCCCTGGGCGTTCCGAGCTCCTTATAATTTCTTACACCAAAGGTTTGGAACATCAAACGGAACATACTCACCCAACATGCGGTCTCTCATATGATCCAAGATATCCAAGGCCCCTGCGTGCCCTGAAAGTCTTCCATGTCAGAGTGTATCAACACATGGAGCAGTGGAGCCTGGCTTTATTTTGGTGGAAGGCAGTCATCATACCACCACAACTTTACATCTGGTGCTTCATGCAAAGCAGACTTTTGGCACGTGAGGATAGCACAGCTCAATTTCATTCTTGATTGCTGCCCTGTGTGAATAGACTGATGGCTCCAGGCACAATCCTCAAGGACTCAACCATCGCTTGAGCGTTCTTTGTGGTTCCAAAGTATCGAACAACTACGTGCAGCATGCGGATTTTTTGGGTCCCAACAACGAGTGAGTAGTCCACTTCCATGCGAGTAAGTTGGAGTCGCAGTGTACATAGTCTGTAGCTCCCCCACCAACAACTGCTTGCACAGGTGTGGATGTTCTGAAGAATGCAGATGAGTTTGGCGACACCATCATCCTCTTCGAGACCTCCTTGCGGGGAATCCTTCGTGGTGTACCATTCGCAGGCTTGCCAGTGATGACACAACTTTGCCCCATGATCCAGATGGCGCAAGTCACCTGGTAGACAACTGCGTGGAGAGTGTTGGATTAAAATGGACGACGTGAATCCCCGAATCTGCTGGACACTTCTGACCTTGCGTCCAGAAGCTTATGTGGATAGCAGCATGAATGTGGCGGGGTGAGAGTTCCACCTCCAGAAACTCCATGAGTCTGGCATGTTTGCCTACATTGGGATGGGATGAGGGGTCAGTGTAGGTGAATGTACTAGCTAGCTTGTGCGAATATGCCATATGTTTCCACCATGGAGTGTTTGGGACTTGAGCCGGCAAGAGGATGTAAAGTGGGAAGGTAGATGGAAGATGATGGAAACCTATTGATTGTTGGGTTCTCGTGGGGAGCTACACGTACATTCATGAATTCATGTCGGTCACACCAATATTGTCTCTGTTGTTTGATTTGTTGGATGTGTTCTTTTCCCAACCTGCCAGGTGAGAGTGTTTAGATTTTCACAAAGGCGCCACTCCTCCTACTCCGTCTGCGCAATCCTCATGTCACAGCAAATGTCAGCTCAGTCTGGGCACTGGGCACGCACGGACCTGCTCGCCATCGACACTGCCAGAAGATATGCCAGATAGAAATGCTAAGAGAGTTAGAATGCAAGGAGATATGCCAGAAAGAATGTCAGAAGATACGGTTGATGGACATAATCCTACACCACTGCAAGAACAAACCCATGTATACCTTTGCGCTCCCTCTTTAACATTGGAAACCCCTCGTTTTGGAACGTGTGAGATTAATCTTGTTTTGGAACGTGCTGCATCCATAATGTGAAAAGGCTTCATGGTTTTCTGTCATTGGCTTGCTTTTGGCTTCTTTTCCTCGTCATCTAGGTATTTCAGTTGTTTTTTTGATTGCTCGAAGTGAAGTCTTTGTTGGTGGGCGGGGACATGCATCAGATGCATTGAGCCGCGCTCCAGCTACTGGGTTCAGTCCGTGGAGCCAAGAAACATATATCCACCCGATTCGATGGGATGAGACCTGCCACGTGGGATCACTCCAAGCATTGAGCTCCCAAGTCGTCCCCAAAGGCTGCAAATGCTTCGTCCCCAAGTCGGTTCCACAAGTGTTTACATCTCTAGGTGGCACCCGTGAACCTTTGAACAACTTGTTGGGGATGTGAGGCGGGAACCTTCCTGAAGGTGGTACCTTCGGCTCCGACGCACCGCTTCACCCGCCCGAGGTCACCCGTTTCTACCAAGACGTCCGGCCCTTGCTGTCGGCGACCCTGAGTGCTGATGGTGAAAAGGCGATCCAGGCAGCGGCACTGATGGTGGTCGATGAGTCAGTGACGCCGCTTGGACTTGTTGTTCTCAATTTGTTTGTGCAGTGTTTTGACAACCCTAACCTTTGAACTGCTGAAAAATTGTTCCATGCTGCATGTGGCTGTAGCCTGTAGGTCCGTAGGTTCTTTTCTTCGGGATCCGACTCTCTATTAGTCCCAACGGTCTTCGTCTTCTTCGTCGTATGCTTCTTCGTCGAAGCATGTCGAAGCCCTCGATCCAACGGTCGACCGGTCGACTCCGGTGGAGACACCCGGTCTCGTCGGTGTCTTTTTTCACGGGCAGCCGTGTTTGTACTGGGGTGTTTCCGTTTCTTTTGACGGCTAACAATGCCAAGTGTTCAAACAATTATTGTCATTCTATTGGAAGTCCCGTTTTCCCGTTTTTGTTGCATATTTTCGGGCACATGGGTACGTTATTTGGGACTTTGTATTCTGGTCCAAACATTAGACTCATTAGACGTCCGCCTGTGCGTTGCCAAGGCTCATGGAGATTTTGTTCAATGCCATGATGGACGCGGTGGGGAACGGGGACGATGGTGGTATGGTAAGGGATGGGTGGAAGCGTGTCGGCCACGCCATGAGTCATGTGAGCTACAACCAAAATCCTCAAATGGAAGGGTTAGCGGGATTATACAACATATTACAGTTATTACAATATACTATTCACAATCATTGAGTATGAGGAATTCTCGTATTGCAATCAGCCTCTTACGAGAAATTGTACTGAATTATCTAATATAGCTTTTGCGCCGCGAGGCATGTTCCAACTTTGGCCACAAAGCCGCAGAGGCTCCAGCTTGAAGCACCCATATACACCGTGTACCGACTTAGCAATGCAAAGACCTCCGCCATCCGGCCCCGATCAAACGCATGTTGGCTCAGTTGCGCTGAAAACGATTCATTTAGGCCTATGGCCTATGACGCCACTTTCCTTTAAGAGGCTGCTAAGAATGACCGTCCCCACCGTAAGTGAGCAGTTCTGGTTTCATCCAAGTCACCGCTCGTTGGGGTTTCACTGTGATTTGGGTGTGTTGACGAGCGACCTCGGCGCCTGAACGCGAACGAAGACGGCTCAACCGTTGAGACGGACGCCTTCAATGTGGACGGACAGTGACGGACAGGTGAGACGAGAACTCCCTGAGACCATCGTGGGAGAGAATTCACATTGCGGAATTGCGGGCGCCACGATCATGGTGGCTTTCATTGGTTTCTTCTTCACCATGGTGGCTAAGACCTCAGTAGCTATAGGCATAGGATGGCATGGGGTATGCTTGGAAACAGTTCGATTCGCTTGACCTTCTGCCATGCAGACCAGTTTCACAAGATGTGAAACATGTCACATGACCAAAGGTTTCTAGGATTACTTGTGTTTTTTGACACTGCGATGGATGGATTTACCCGTTTGGATGATGTTTTTGATGCAAAAAGTCTCGGAGAGGGCGCTCAAACTGACCCCGCATTCACCCCTAAACGACTGGGCGCTGCAGGTGCCACTTAAAACGCAGGCGGCTAAGTCACTGACCCTACAGCATGTACTCTAGATTGCAACCCAGCCAAAAACGGATGCAACCATGTTGCTAATCCCATTTGATACCAGTACCAATCTGGCCCCTTTCCGACCCTTCCCCTTCCGAAGACCGTATATAATGGGTCTCCTTTCAAACCATCACAGTGGTCAGTCCTGGCAACAGTGGTCAGTCCAGGCAAGATTGATCATGGAGAATGAGAACAACTGTAGGCCGTGGGTCGCTGGGACTGCCGGTCTCGCGCGTTTGGACGATGAAAGGCTAAAGGCGGGTGGTTTGGTGGCTGAGGGACCGGTCTTGCAATGGACTGGGGGGAATACGCATCGACTTTGTATATATGACATGTTGCATGGTCCAATCACCCATTGTGGTTATTGTAGACATTTGTAGGATTTGATGTTGTTCATGGCTGTGACTGTTTTAGTGGAAGGAGAAACAAAAGGACTATGACCCCATTATAGACGGTAAAATTTCAAGATATGCCAAGTGTTTAAGCTTCACAGGCTGAGGTGTTTTTCAACCTTTGTTGAAGAAGACTTGGATGGAACATGATAGAACGAACCCCGAGACTTTCCAATTCCAAGTTTTGGGTCTCCATTTCTCCCGGGTCACAGGTTTTTGTTGGTGATTCCTTCCAACAACCAGTGACCTATGAAGCCCGACCCCTACGCTGGAGCATTTGCCGACGTCGACGTCGAGCGGGACGTGACGGGTGGTGCTGGTCTCACCAGGATGGCAGTGACGTCAATGGACGTGGGGTAGCGACCAAAAGTTCTGTGTTCTTGTTAGTAGTAGCTTCTTGTTCCTGGTAGTAAGGCCAGGAGCCCCTAGCAGCTTCTTGCTCCTGGTCCTAGTAGCGATGCCAGGAGCCCCTAGTAGCGTCCTTGTTCGTCAGGTTTTGACTACATCCACTTTGCAGGGAGATTGTAACAACCACAGGCTGGCTGGAATTTCTATGGCCCGTCTTTATGAGGATTCCTACTTGTGCCCCTCATTAGAGGCGACGCCAGTTGCACATGCAGATGTGCAGTGCATCAAATCACCCGTACCTTTGAGTTTTCACATCCGAAGTTCATGTAACCGTTGATAGGTCAATCTTCACCTTCCCATTCACCCTGATAGGTACCCCTCCTCACAGAACTCTCAAAACCCCTAGCAGGCGACCCAACAAGTCCATCTAGACAAACCAAAACGGCCTCTCCATGCTGCGCATCCCGCGTCTCCATGCGTCCCCCGAGGAATCGATGACTGGGAACGATTGGTTCCGCTTCATGGAGGCCTTGGTGCGCGAGCGGCTCTTGATCCAACGCATCACGCAGGAGCCGCTGCGTGATAGCAAACTGAACGAGGACGTGAGACGAGGACATGAGACGGGGGGAGCTGATCAGAGATCGATCAAGATTGATTGTTGGAACGGATGTGACGTCTTATATATATATTATATTATATATAGAGTTAATATATGAATTAGCGTCCACGGTAACCGGTAGCCAAGATGCTCGTAACATTTTTGTCCCATAGTGTCTCGGCTTGAGCTTTGGTGCATGATCTTCACTATAGTTGTGGACTATTCGTCGACTATTCTGCAGAGCGCCTTGCTTGGTTTGCCGGACCATTCGAAGGATCCAAGATCTTAGACAAGTGCTGCTACTGTCGCAGGAGCAGGCCGTGTTGACAACTCTGCGTATAGCGTCAGGAACTCTCACTGATCTAGAAGAGCTAGCTGCACCGATCTTGGAACGCAAGCATCGAGGAGCAAACCCTCCTGGTGTTTAACTGCCACCTCCAGAGCCCCTCCAGTTGATCCCACCAGAGCTCATCCACCAGCAGCAGAGGTAGCTCCTGAGAGAGTGAAGAGCGAGGACCAGGCCAAGGAGCTACAGCAGAGGTTCCAGAGGACAAGGAGGATCAGGAGCAGGAGGAGAAGAAGAAGAAGAAGCACAGGACCACCACGGAGGAAGCCCCCACTAGGGCCAAGAAGGGGTCAAAGGAGAAAAAGAAGGAGGACGAGCAGGGCGCTTCTAGATCAAAGGGTCCTACTCCACGACCCTCAGGTGCACCAGAGACAGTTCAGGGGAGTGAGAAAGGATCCCTCAAGGACTTGGGACTCAGTCCAGCTCCTAAGGCATCGACAACAAGAACATACGACCATCTCTTGTTACCACCACCGCCGACAGGAAGGCCAGTTGAACCCAGTTATCCACCACCTCATTTGAGCACCGTGAGCCTGGTCGGAGAAAATGGAAGCACCGTGAAAGAGGGCGTCAGCGGTTCCAGAGAAGGCGTTGAGCAAGATGCCACCCAAGCGCGCACATCCTATTTGAGGCCTATGGCAAGAGCCGGAGGTCGAGTTCGAGGACGGGGTCTTCCAGCCATGAAGGCCGCTGCAAAGCCCAAAGCTAAGGGGCAAGCAGCTATACGCGGCGGACTGGCCGCAGCGGCGGGCGACGGAGCTATAGTTGGCCGATCAGGTCGTTCTTGAAGGCACAGAAGTGGTCGCATCAGAGGCATCGTACTTCGGGGCCGCTTGCTGCACGGGCGAGCGCGTGTCCGAGGACCTGATGCACATGAGACATATGTGGGCCCGGATTGGACCAGGAATCTGGAGGCCGCAAAAGTGTCCACCGAGGACGATCTCAGAGACCTGAGAGAAAAGAGGGAAGGCGCATAAGAGCTTTCCAGAGGCGTTCAAGAGATCGACGTCGGAGTGTCGACGAAGAAGAAAAGCAAGAAGCGAGGGAAGAGCCGGAGGAGACGGAGGGCCTCACGATCATCGGCAGAAGGAAAGAAAAAGTAGAAGAAGGCCCAGGCACCCAAGAAATAGAAGGAGGATTGGAAACGGAGCTCAAGCCAGCACTGGAGAGCTCATGAGATCGTTCAAGATGATCAGGCAGGAACACGTGGACCAGCCTGTATGGCACCCACATCTGAGCGTGATGGATCCAGCTGCTGATGAGGCGCTTACTTCAAGCACAGCAGTAGAGCACACTTTTCCACCTGAGCCCCTTCGCTTTGAAGGAGTGGGGGCTGCGAGATCCGACAGTGATCAACCTCAGGCTGTTCAGGGACCCTACCCGATGGCTTTTGGACATTTGTTGTCACGAGGAAGCACGCGCTAGAGAGTGCAGGTGTAAACGAATACATCAGGTGTGACAATGTTGATGGCAAAAACTGGCCCGCAGATCCCCAAGCCTTGTGTTGCTCGAAAAGCTGACCATGTCCAAAAGACCTGCTGGAACCATGATACCAAGAAAAAAATAGATATTGTATATAGTTGCCAGAAAACACAGTTATTTTGCCAGCAACGACGTAAATGTGACACAAAACTTGCCATAAGAGGATGGATTAGGATGTTGTAGGGTCTCCGGATGGGCAGTCATGTCAGCTAGCCGGATGGGAAAGTTCAGGGCGCAAAGACCGACACTATAGGAAACCTGGTTTTGTTTAGGAATCTTAGGATGTTTTTCTGTTTTGCCTACGGGTGAGTCCTCTTCTGGGGGGTATTTGTTTCCCGGCTTAATGTGGAGCGAAGGGATGGTATTTTTCTACAAAGGATCTCAGCCCGGAAAGAAACGGGGGGTCTGAAAGCAAGGAACCTGGACTGTCAGATTGCGGTTGCGCAGTCCCTTTTCCAGGAGGTGATGCAGGTGGCTGTCCAGGCTGTGTGCGTCGTGTAGAAATGCCTTCGAACTTGAGTGATGTTCTTGCTCAGGAAGGTATACCTAGAACCTGAGTGACCCCTGTTTTGGAGGATCAACTATCCAAAATATGGTCTTTGCCTATCAAAACAAAGGTCAGTTGGGCTCTAGGTATACACCGTCCAGAACCGTTTTGTTCGGCATCGGTTTTGTTTGTCCATGCAATATTTAGTGAAATATATCGCCATGTAGTTTGGACCCTCTACAGGATCAGGACCACGGAACACAAATGGTGTGTTTGCCCAGTCAGGCGGGTTTTGCACGGCTGACATCAAATCGTTGGGTTTGGAATGGCCGGGGACCCCTCTTGGCAACTTGAATCAAGTGGCACATTTAGCGCAGGTCACATCCGGAAAAAACAAGATCTCAAGTGCTGTGGACGGTCCAGCTACTTAAACAGTGAAGAGAAGGAAATTTAAGGTCCTGAGAAAGGTAAAACATGTTCTGACACGTTTGAAAACGAAAAACATTGAGAGTGCTTCCACCCAGAGACTCTTGGACCCGAACCA